ATCCCCCCATCAATAGTCACAGGTATAGGGTTTGTTGATGAATGTTATATATCTTCACTTACAGTTAGTCCCACGTTGAACGTCGAGTACTCAGTTGATTAAAGGAAAGGGCATCAACGAAAAATAAACATATACTACCCATCAAAAGTTTAGACTCACCTAAAGCACTCACTATATGTTATACATATACATATGGTTACATCGGAGATGAATTTCTCCACTAACTTGGGGGAGCCAACTGCAAACTTTATGTAGATGAATTGTAAGAGGATCATGCATCAAATTGCTAAAAAGCATGTGCAAATATCGTTCATGTGAACAGCTGCGTTTTGGTGTAAAGTTTTCTTAAGAATTCGCCAATTTTCACTGATTTTCATCATTTACTGAACTCATGACAATAATCTGTTCAACGTTACGAATTTGTTTTACAATGCATTAGTTCATGTGTAAACAGTACCCTTAAACTGAACTGAATATTTTGCAAAATCAAGTTTAGAACAGTTGACTGAAATAAGAGGCTACATTTACACTAGTGAGTCTAAACTTTTGATGGGTAGTATAGTTCCAACATCAACCTTGCAAATGCTCCACACAAAAAAGTGCGAAGTGCTTCTTAAACATCGTTAACATTGTTGGCCTTGATATTTGACAGTAACTCAGTATATGTGTAAATGTACGGTATCTAGTTCACACGAGACTGGACGTGGACGCTTGGTACCTAGAGTTGATGACGTCGTCGGTAATCAAGTAGTTGGAAGGCGTTAATGGGACTAGTGTGTGTGTCTCTGTCAAAACCGGCTCATTTCTATAATGGGTTCTTATAAAGAAGAGGAAAATATTCTGAAACATATATCACTGTCACCATGGCGACGATGGGATGTCTGAAAGTACGAAAACGTTCTATATATAATGGAATGTAAGGAATGAATTTTGATTGATCTGTGAGAGTAAATAACATGCTCACATCTTAATCTATCTGAAAGAGAAACATTCTACGATGAAGATACTCGATTCATGGTAAATTATGATTTACCCACTCATGATTCATTGAAATGATGGCGTTGTTTGTCTGTTGTTTAACGCTGCTGTCGGCAATATTCAAGCGACATAACAGAAGTCTGTAAACAATCGCCTCTCGTCCAAAAACTCCAATGTTTGAAAGGATACACATAGAACCACTTTACTTGCATATTACAACATGCACCAACCATATCATCAAGCCAGACCACTCGATCCCATTAGTTTGCGGAAGATCAGTTGCATTGTAAAATGAAAATATGTGAACAATCTACCTAGTGCTGTTGGAGAGCGTCAGGTAAGACCTGCAGAGTATGCGGATGATTATAATCATTAGTTGTTTAACCATTGCCCACGGGTGACTGAAAGCTGCCATCGATTATTCAATTCATCGAGCAACATCTTTCTGTAACAAAGACACTATTCGAATATTTACGTAATTAAAATGTTTAAGTTGCAAAGTACGTATAATCGTACAGGTGATCATTAGATGGGCAGAATTCCAACTCACGTCAGTTTAGGTCTTCCTGCCTTCGGATGCGGCTCGATAACAATCTTTCAATCAATGATAGCGTAACGGAAACCCCAGGATCAAGAGGATTGAGATATCTAATGTAACTAATTTTCTAAGCAGCGAAGGCACAAATGTCACACGCAAGATGACGGAGCCGAGGAAATCATTGTCCGGCTTTAGGATTCGATGTTCCGTCCGAGCTTGATCAGTATCTAATAGTTACTTCCGGGTCACAATATTAGGAATGGTCGCTGTACGTGTACAAGACCACAGGGTATAATTGGAAACTGCACCTTTAGTGAGTGAGTGAGTATGGTTTTAAGCCGCTTTTAGCAACATTCCATCAATATCACGGCGGGGGAGACCAGAAATGAGCTTCACATATTCCACCAATGTAGGGAATCGAACCCGGGTCCTTGGCGTGTCGAGCGAACGCTTCAACCACTAGGCTACCCAGCTGTACTTATGAATAAGAATACATATGCCGCTCGTATAGCCTATGATTAATTAGCCGTAATTTAAATCAAATATCAAACAGATTTAGAATATATGAGAGTTGGGGTTGGGGGACCGTTCAATCTTTGCAGAGTCGCGTCCCTTAGGCCTGCCAGGATAAGCAGATATGTGGTTCGAATACCTACTTATATGGTCCTCGTTATTTTCACGATAGGCATAAACATTTATAACCTGCATCAATTCGTTTTTCCTCCAACAACCACTTCACAAGCCGTGATGCAAATGAAGCAATGTTCAAAGCGGGGTTCAGTCAACCTAACTCATTCAGATTTGTCTAAGTCTCACATTTTCTTCTTAAGTGTCAGATACCCATGATACCCGTGGAGATAAGTTCTAATTTCAAAAGTTAAATCAATTTCTCGTGCCCAAATAGTACAAATTTAAACTTCTGAAATTCCACTTCAATGTCTGGTAAAGAATGGCCGGAAGTTGCGTTTTCAACATGGCTACGTTGAGAGCCATGTTGAAAACCATTGTCCTATGGGCATGTGGCCTCTTTGACAGAAAATAAACTATGTGAACTGTGATGTTGAAAACCTTGTGAAGCTGTTGCTACAAAACATCCCAGTATCCATTTTCAACTTCATCCACTGAGAGTTCTCAGCCGATATATGACTGTTCAATCAAAAGTTTGTAGTGAGACACATATACTGGGATAATTTCAATGGTTATTTCATTTGCTGGAACCGATTGAGATTGTGGATATTGCTTTTATGATAGTTTTCGAATTAGTTATTTCGAATGAAATATACTTCTTATCACAAATTATAGATTACCTTTGAAGGAAATGAAAAATGGATATAAAAATCATTGGGCATTTTAAGGGCATTTTTATGATTTACTAGCCACCCCGTCAGGTTCACGCTGGGAATAGGGCTTCCAAGAAGATCACTGTCATGCAAGTTGACCAGACGGATTTGGTGGCCAGGTAAACGAACGAACGAACGAACGAACGAACGAACGAACGAACGAACGAACGGATTTGGTGGCCAGGTAAACGAACGAACGAACGAACGAACGAACGAACGAACGAACGAACGAACGAACGGACTGTATTGTACCAGCGACATTATTAGAACATACAACAGGGTATTGAATTTGATTCCAATAACTCGATCTTGATTATATATTGTGATGTTTAATTATGAACAGTTCCATTATGCGCTAACGATGCTGGGTTACAGCATATTTGAAAGCCAATAAAATATTAATTCACACATTATTGATGTCATGTTGGGTATATAATTGCATGTAACGATCGTGTTTTCATCGAATCGCCATGTGCTGAAGAATGTGCCACACGTGTTTAACAATTACGCCAGAATTTCTGTTCAATAAGGACAAAATGCTCCCGGGAGAACATTTTCTCACAATGATGATGCCTAGTATACTCTAGTATACTCTAGTATACTTAGTATACTAGACTATACAGACTGTGAAAGGTCGGATCTTGGGCTTAATCCGTTTCTGAAATAGCGCCAGAAAACATCAATTACCATTGATCCTAACACAATTTTAATTGTCTTTGTCTCCATTGATCTTTGGCACAAGCCTAGAAATGACTGGACATTTTATAGGATGAGGTCATATGGTTAGAATATTGTAGTGTTACACAGCCAAATAAACCGAGAAATTACAGGACACTAACAAAACCATGTAGGTTCAAGTTATATATACCGGCTAAAAAGTATACGAATACTCAATGCCATTGATGTAAAATGTAACACACCTTATATTTGGGATTACACTTTCTCAGTAAAGTACAAATTCTAGTACTTTTGTCTGGTTGACTCCCATTCGGGATTCGAACCCACACGTCAGACACCTTACGCCAGCACACAAAGTCAGCCGTCTAACCCACTCAGCCACCTCAACTCTAGAAGTACTAGAATCTGTACTTTTACTGAGAAAGTGTGATCCCGTCTCTTACATGTATTAAAAATGTATATGCTTGAGAAAAGGATTTGACGAAACATTACAAAAGTTATTAAAACGCACAAAGCTGAAAACGGTCAACAAAACTCAGCACATTTAATGTCCAAAACACAACTATGAAACCCAAATCAAATTTGCAACATTGAATTAACCATTGTTGGTTTGTTTCATGTTTATATATTCGTGTATGGTTTCTTTTGATCACTAGTTTCTTACCGCGTGGTAGTTACAGCATGATTTCGTTTATTTGTTGTTTTACGCCGCACTCAGCAAGATTCCAGCTATATGGCGGAGGACTGTAAATAGTTGAGTCTGGACCAGGCAATGCAGTGATCAACATCATGAGTATCGATCTGCGCAATGGGGATACGATGACACGCGTAATCTAAGTCAGCGAGCTTGAGCGCCGATCCCGTTAGTCGCCACTCATAACAAGCATGGGTTGGTGAAGAAAACCCGGATCTTCACGGGTTCACTGTTACAACGCGAATATGTGATCGATGCCAATTTCTGTCTATAGTTAATCACACCTGCTAGATCAGATATTGACATGTAAGAGGGGACAAATATATAACTGACAGATTATGTGTACTGATAGAGTGTTCTTAACATCTCTTGTTAAGTATGTATGTATGTATGTATGTATGTATGTATGTATGTATGTATGTATGTATGTATGTATGTATGTATGTATGTATGTATGTATGTATGTATGTATGTATGTATGTATGTATGTATGTATGTTTGTATGTACATTGTATGTGACTACTTTACTAGTGTGTTTGGTGAGTTTTGTTTCTCTCTCTCTCTCTCTCTCTCTCTCTCTCTCTCTCTCTCTCTCTCTCTCTCTCTCTCTCTCTCTCTCTCTCTCTCTCTCTCTCTCTCTCTCTCTCTCTCTCTCTCTCTCTCTCTCTCTCTCTCCAGATGTAGATATGACCCGTTGTTGAACTTCAGCCTATCAGTGGTGAAGTTTCAGTGCGATGTATTCACTTTTTCATTCTAATTACAGAAACTGACGGCAGTGTGCACCGACATGTGTTAACTAACCATCACTGGACCGATAGATATCTTCACTGAAACACAGCCTCCTCCGTAACTGTGACCGCGAGGGAACGCCAACCAGAGCTGCAGTAGGAGTGGTCGAGGACGCTGCAGGGCACCCTACTGACAACGTCAATACCACACCGGGGACCTTCTGACGGAGAACCATTCACTGACAGTAAAGCTTCAAGTACACACACGTTCTGATCGTGTCTCGTTCACCAGAGTTTTTCTACAGATCTGAATCTTCAAGCTAAACATGCTCTATAACTGGAACGTCAAATCGAAATGGAAAATTACACCTGGTCTTGAAGATCTTCACTGGAATTGACTTTTGTTTGTGAAAACTATTACATGTCGATTAGATCGAAGCATTTGCAACGGATCGGTCTAAAACACCACCCAAGTCTTTTCCGATTTAGATCCAGAATGTTTAAATTTTTTTACCTGTTTTAATTCACACTGGATTCGTCGGAGTCGTACAACACCGGAATTGAAAGGAAGTGAGTGCGTGATTTTAACTCATTGATTTGGGGAATCGCCCGTACATTTTTATTTTACAGAATATATGTGTATACGGCTGGTAAAACACATATCGACAGATGTTGTGATCCCAAGACCAGTTCATGTGTGACGTACAGGACGTCGGTTCAACTGTTAGGAAATAACACAACGGGATATTGTTGACGGAGTCTGGGCCAGAAGGACTTAACAGTGAAAGGGACTGTCACGCAAACAACAATGAACAACACTACGGATGACTACCACTACGACTATTTGTCGTCGGTGGAGACGGTGCCGTTGGCCGAGTTGATACCGGTAGCCACGTTGTACAGTCTCATGTTGATGTGCGGCATGCTCGGCAACGTGCTCGTCATCTTCTCCATCCTACGTTATCGATGCATGCGCAACATCACCAACACATTTCTTTTGAGCCTGGCGTCAGCTGACCTCTTGTTGGTGGTCATTTGCATACCCGTAAAGGTAAGATGTACTTGAGGTTGAGGAAGAGCGTTAGAGAGACATTGGTAGTGAAAGTGAGTGAGTGAGTTTCATGCCGCTTTTAGCAATATTCCAGCAATATCACATATTGCACCCATGTAGGGAATCGAACCCGGGTCTTCGGCTTGACGAGCGAATGCTTCAACCACTAGGCTACCCCACGCCCCTGGTAGTGATAGAGATACGGACAAGGTTGTGAGACACTCTAAATGAAAAATCATATTGATCATTATGATGTTATCTAAGTCATCTCAGACCACTGTGTGTTGATAAACAATAGAATAATCAATATTCACTGCATTGATCGATCGTTAACAAGTAAATTGGTCACCTGTGGGAACCCGCTTCACTCTGAAGTTGAACTGTGAAGTTGAACTAACCTTTCCTTCACTTCTCGTGTACTGTGAAGTTGAACTAACCTTTCCTTTCTCAAACTACCGTCACGACGTAAGTGGGTGAGTATGGTTTTACGCCGCTTTAGCACTAAATTACACCAATATCACGGCGTAAGTAATTATTCTAAACGAACATCTGTGCTTGCTGATAAACAGCCACTCTCAGCTGCATTGCGAACATAACTGTACATGTATCCTATTCCTAATATTCGTATCCCAATGATTGCTGGAATATTGCTAAAAGTGGTGTAAAACTTCACTCACTTACTCAACCGTGTGTTTGTAAGTGAGTGAGTGAGTGAGTTTGGTTTTACGCCGCTTTCAGCAATATCCCAGCAATATCACGGCGGGGGACACCAGAAATTGAAAAAGCTCAAGAATTACTTCCGAAAAACAACATCAAAAACATTTAATGGCTGCAAGAAAGCTTATTGCAAATTACATCAGTTTTCATGCTTGGTTTTGTCATTCGTTGTTGTCTTGTCATCAAATTCTCATATTACAGGAGATGTAAAGGTACGTGAGTGAGTTCGGTTTTACGCCGCTTTTAGCAATATCCCAGCAATATCAGGGCGGGGGACACCAGAAATGGGCTTCACATATTGCACCCATGTTGGGAATCGAACCCGGGTCTTCGGCGTGACGAGCGGACGCTTTAACCACTAGGCTTCCCCACCGCTCACATGTGCGTGTGTGCGCGCGTGTGTGTACGTGTGTGTGTGCTCTTTGAATGCTCTGTGTGTGTCTGTGGTTGATATTAGTTAGCTTGCGACCAGAGAAGAGGGGGTTTAAGTAGAGTAACCTACAGTTGCAACTAAAAGGTGAGGTGAAATCGGGTTTAACGTCGTGCTTGAGAATATTTCGCTTATATGACGACGTGCATGGGTGTGTATGTGTATGTGCGGCTGCTTGTACTAGCCCAGACTGAAGCTGGTTTTATAGTGCTAGCCCACTGAGATACCATACTGCAGTGAAGCATGAATACCCCACTCAGACACATTATACTGACTCCGAGCCGACCAGTCCTTGTTGTACCCATTAATGCCGAGCGCCAGGCAGGGACCAACAAGTACCATATTTTAACGTCTTTTGGTATGACGCGGTCGGGGATCGAACCCGCGACCTTCCGCTCTCCGGGCGGACGCTCTAACCACTACACCACGGAGGTGGTCTTGCAACTAAAAGCCACCGGTATTTTAGTTACTTGTAACCATAGTTCGTTACACACATTTCGACTAAGTTATACCTCAAGAGGCTGGGACTAAATTGTGAACTATGTCCGTCAGTTCGTTATAAGTGATATGGCTGAAATATTGCCGAGGTGACGTTAAATTCTAACTCACTCACTCACTCACTCGTTATAAGTGTGAAGCCATGTAAACGTTGTTTACTATAAACACAATCCGTATTTATTCGCATTTATCATACCATAGGAACGTATCTCGGCAGGATAAAGTCAAACATAAAAATCATATCCGCTGGGGCGGTTCACACGTGTGCAAATATTCAGTAATTACAATTACGGTGTCGCTCTTGTCTATCAGAATTGACGATCGGGAAATTATTTAGATAATATTTATTGTGAAAACAACTGTAAGTTACCAAAATTCGGTATCTAAAAGGCGACTGAGGTCTAAAAAACGTAGTGAACTTTGAAGAAATAACTTGCGAAGACATTAAAGAGGACGGTCTGTGTAACTGTTCCAAAGTCGATCAAACCGGTGCTTTATGTCGGAAACTTGGATCTTTTGTCGAATTAAGAAGATGTGCATTCAGTCGACACTTATCAACAACTGTTTTTCGTTTTGTGCCTGTGGAATATTTGACTGTATTCCATAATCCCATTACGAAACATTATAACTGTCCAGGATGTCTAAAAAACATGACGTTACCTAGCTTTCATTTGATAAAGGACAATTACTCGAGGAGACAAAAGGAAATTACTTTAGTAGAATGAACAAAGGATTGCTGAAAAAAGAGATCACGGATATTGAAACGTTCCCTGCAGGCAATTGGATTTTACGTGAGGGCAGATAGGCCACTGTCTAAACGACAAGTTTCAGTTGAAGTACAATTGACTGGTTTCAGTGTCAGATTGACGTTGTGACGTCATGTAATAATGGGATAACAGAATTTAACATGTCATTATATGGTTGAGACTAAGTTTTACACCACTTTTAGCAAATAATCTACATAGGCGGGTGGGGGTGGGGGTGAGGGAGGGTTTGGGGTGATTTTTATGCTGGAAGTTTATTAAATCGTATGCGTATCCATTTGATCTCAGGTGAAAATGAACTGTACCCCCTTCTCAAAAGCTGTATCCGCCCCTGTTCTAGCAATTTCACTGTGGGGAAATCAAGAAAAAGGGAATTACACATTGTACCCATTTTGGGAATGGAACCCAGACCTAAAGCGTGACGAGCGGACGCTTTAACCACTAGGCTACCCGATCGCACCTCGTCATATGGTAAAGAGGTTATCACACTTGTGTGTTTTAGAGTGACCAGTATCTGGAATCAGGAATATATGCTAATACAATGAGAGAACGTAAAACAATAATCATCGGACCTAAACACACTCATATCCTCTATGTATCACCCAACAATAACGATTTATTCGTTAACACCCAAATATATATACACCATAGATCTGATATGTTTGACTATCATTTAAAGAAAGAGATATACTAGTATTGCAATTATATCCAAAATATGAACTGTTCTGGGGCTTAGGCACCACTCAAAAAATAATTAAACATGGTTTACAATGTATTTGTTAAACTATAATTGTATTTGAACTTAAGGCCAGACCAATTTTATTTCTTGTTTTACGGATTTTTGTCACCAGAACACCTAAAGGCAGGAGGGGAAAAAATCACCAGTCAAAGCAAAAACCCACATGAGTTTTTCAAAGGCATTGTTTTTCAAGTTCACACTCGCTAAGGTGCTCGAAGCACTGATTTCTAACACAAATATTGTTAGATAATTCAGTTAAAAGTCTCTGAGAACAGATACCGGTGTTTTAGTGTCCAACAAACTCAGCCTTGCATATTCGAAGTCTCGCTCCGTAAATGTTAACATTATGATTTTATTTTTCGAGCGGGTAAAATCTATTTTTATTTTTTTTCTTACAGAAATAAAATTGGTCTGGCTTAAAGAGCAAAAACCTTGCATAGTACACAACTGTGGATTCGCATTAAAGACTTTTTATCGTTAAAAATTTGCAAATGGCTTTTTGGGGCACAAATTTAGAACATTTCAATCATTGTGGGAATCATGTGGAGGTAAATGCGTTTTTTACCCGTCTACATTAGACCAGTCTATTTCTGCACAACATTACCAAGCCATAGATTACTTTTTACTCACTGTTGCAGAAATAATTAATGGTTAGGTAGATATAAATCTGTGTAATATGATTGCCTAACGTTTCTTTCCTATATAAAAAACAACACGGTGAATTTGCGTTTGCCTTACAATGTCGGATATCTAAAAGACCTGCTAGGATGGGTTTTTTGTTCAGATTTATTTTTTGATCGCTATTTTCCAAGCTCAGTCGGGAAATGGAAATAGACGTTTTAAAACTAGTTCCTTAATGCTCCAGAAAATGGCTTTCTGATTTGATTATGCCGGCTTCTTGCTAGCCATTTCACAGGTCGGTCAGGTTTGCGAAAGGTTGCTTGGAGAGAACTGTGATGGGATGTTCTCAAATCATTGTTTAACTGCAGCTGAACTAATAACTAATTTTAACGAAAATGTTTAAAAATTCATGACCGGGAACGTTACAAATATTCTTCGTTGCAGTCAGAATATTCACTCTTCACTGTACTCAAGTTTAGGGTATATACAATCAAACACCGTTGTGTCGAACCTACTACTGTTATCTCGAAGTAAACGCTGGGTCCTTGGTTATTCCTTATTTAAGTCATTTGTTAGACGCTGTGTCGAACCTCGAATAACTCGAAGTATTTACATTGATCCGTTCAACTTCGACACAATAAAGTTTGGATGAATATAGTTAATGACAAGGTTTCGAGTAACACCATTCATAAACGTTTTTTAAACCAGTTCAGTTTCAGATACAGTCAAAAATGAAACATTAATGCCAAAGAGTGAGTGAGTGGGGTTTTGAGCCTCCTTTAGCAATATTCCATGACCTAGTGCTGGAGCGATTGATCGAGTAATAGGTCAATTGATCGATCTCGCTTGCGTAAGCGGTTATCGATTGGCTCAGGAAACTAATCGATATTCATAAAAAATGAAACATCATATATAACTTTAGGAAGTATGTTTCTTATTGTTATGTTTGTTAAATCAAAATATAAACAATATCCTGACTCGTAAAACTGCAATTTAAACAACATATTCGCGTGTGTGTCAAAGCAGGAAGTATCCTCAATCGTCTTGAGCGTGGTATTAATCGGTGCCTGTTTGATTGTGTCCCATTTTTGCCCACATGAGTTTTGTGGGTTTACAATTACAATCGATTATTGATCGATTATTGATCTCTGATTATCGATCTGAATATTGTGAGTGATAAACAGATCTCATTCCTGCAATATCAAGGGACACAAGAAACGGGCTTCACACA